CAAAGAGCAGCAACAGATCTTTATCCTAATCCCTTTTAAACTGTTGAGAATATGATCATGATGAGAAGGGCGCCATCTACTGGACAAAATCTCACATCAACCTTTAGACTCCAAAATCTGAATGCAGGTCTTCACCAAAGGGTAAATATCTGTAGTTGGGCTCCTGCTCCTAATCAACAAAATCAATTATATTGAACATTATGATCTGGAGGTGACATGATTTTAGGATTAAACTATTGTTATAATTTTATTTCCTTTAAGTTTTCCAAGATGATTCCAACTGTTCATTTAAACTGCTCCATATTTGTTCTGTGTGTGTCAAAAAGCACTCATGGTGAATAAATCATCTGCTAAAGAAGTAAGACATTATTCAGGAGTGTTTACAGATTGGGAGAACTTTGACTTAGGTAGCAAAAAAAAAAAAATTGTTTGAATTTTCTGTTTTTGTTTTGTTTGTTTTTTTTATGATCAATGGGCATAAAATACAAAAAGTAATGTAATGATACAGTAATACAGTAATATGGATAATAAATAGAATACTTTGCAATATCACAGACATCAAAGAGTGCATATGCACATGCACTATTTAGCCTGGATATTATCTCTTTGAAGAGATATTTACATATTTAGATAGCTACAATCTCGTGGCCTATTGCGTGAGATGCTAATGTTCACAGAAAATAAAAAGGTAAACAATGATTATGCAAAAAAAAAAGAAAGAAAGAAAGAAATGGCTGTTATAAAAAAAAAAAATTTAAATAACTGTAAGAACACAGGAGCCAATACCATGGCTTAACAGAGATTATTGGAATCCTCTGCTGGAGATCAATCTCTAAATAATCCGAGGTTTGTCGAAAGAAAATGTCCCTGACAGACAGAGGGCTTCCACTGGGCATGGTGGGAAATAAAACAGGCTAGTTACAGGACTAATCGGACAGGGTCAAGTTTCTCTTATTTTAGCTGCTGCTTCACCACAACATTGTCTTACGAAAGTCGCTAATCTCACAGTAAATCTGGTGAAATCACAAAGATACCACAAAGCTGACAGAGGTCAATAAATGCAAAGCTAGCTTTAACCATCTTTGACACATCAGGATGAAACGTGAGTAAGCAGTTAGTGAAATTAAATAAAAACACATAAATAAACCACTTACTGTCTTAGCTCTTCCTACCGAGGATGTAGGCTATTAATACTCTCAGCTCGCTGTTTGGTAATCTTTCCTTTCGAAAAAAAAAACTTTTAACGTTCGCTTTTCCCGCACGCGGTCATTCTTTCCGTCCGTACGCATGCGTCACGTGACATGTCCATATATGGTAAAAATGCCCAAATATGTCAAACATTCGAACTACTCGAAAAACGCCGGTGTTACGCTTTCGAGGTACAACAGCGCCCCCTTGTATTCACTCTTGAAAACAGCAAGACGTTTTTTTTTTTTTTTTTAAGGTTTAAAATTTTAGTAGAATTATTTAGAACTGTTTTAGAAATTCTTATTATTGTAATTATGATGTTACTGATTAAAATGTAGTATACCTATTGGTTAGTCAATGTAAAGCAAAAAATGTTAAGCTAAACACTTTTATAAACTTTTTTTTTCAGATATATATTAAGCTTTATTTATTTTATATATTTTTTAGTTTACATTTTAAGTGTTAGTTGCAGGCTAAATAATTCCTCCTTGTGTTCCATTCATTATCTATTCAGACCCAAAGCAATTTGCAAGCATCTAGACAAAACCTGAAAAACTGGACAGTACAGTTGATTTTTCAATGGTTGTAATGTAAGCACATTTTTTCTGAGGTCACCTGACTAGACTTTGTGAAAAGGGAAAAGCCTTTTCTCACTTTTAACTTCGGTTCCCATGCTGTGGTTCATAATGTTCACGTCAAAGACCATGAAAGCGGTTATTTTCATTATGTTTTTCGGTTACTACCTTCCAGTGCAGCCTCACAACACAGATCCCTGTAAGTAAAGAACAAAAAATATGTTGCTTTTTTAGCTTTGAAAGAGTGTGTTGGTTGCATATCTTGATGTCCTTTCAAATGAATCCTCAGTCTGTTGTTTTTTTTTTTTTTTCTTTCTTTACTTTATCAGATTCTTACTGCGAAAGCTGTCTAACTGCAGCACAAGGTATGCAAGACTGGACTTGCCTCACAGCTTATGAATTATTTTATATATCTGAAAGGCATATGTTTTTGGTATGACTTTTACTTTGAATTATTGACACTAAGTAACAGTTATGCAAAATAATTTCCAGAGATTGAGAAAGAATTAAAGGAAGCCCCAGCTGGGAGCAGGCCAACCCTGATAGAGAAGCTTCTCAGTTGGCAGTTGTGTGAGAAAATTCTGACTTCCAGTCATGAGCATGTGTCTAAAGAACAAATGAAGTCTGCTTGCATACACTTATTGGGTAAGATTTTAAAAAATATATATAATCATAATTTGTAATAAAAGGAATGTGATACAGCCTGACTTCTTTTCAAATACACAATCTAGATTCTCATCGTCACCAGTTCCGTGCTGCTTTGGCAAAGAAGGAGCTAAGGAATTTGGACATACTGATGTGTTATGAGGTGTCCCATGCATGCATTGGGGTCAAGCGTCAGAGTTTTCAAGTAAGACTGAGACGTTTTGGCAGAAAATTATCAAATTTTTCTGTAACTTAATTAGTTCTTATTTTTGTGTGTTTTTGACAGGATTCCAAAGCTACCTTTAAAGAAAGTGAAATCGATGCTTTACTGAGAAAAAACAAGGAAAATGTGCGTGTTGCTCAGCCAATAGATCCCAATTCACCTAAACAGAGAAGAAATGAGTTGTGAAGCTGAAACCATGTTTTTTTTTTTCCACCACATTGTATTTGTTTTTGACAGTTTTTAATGGGGTCAATATGAGAAAGGAAATACAATCTGTTATATCCAGTTGGGCATTCTGTTGTGTTTTCTTTGTTCATTAGTGAATAAAGTATGGGTTTCTATTTTTGATTACCTTTTCTCCATTATGTTCAAACTCTAATACGCTGCTGATCTGGGTTTACTTTTCTCCAGATAAAACTGTGTTTTTTGTCAAGATGAAAATAAAAATTACTAATCATAAGCACTTGTCAGTTAGGACTGAAAGCATCCGACTCTTCTAGACGGCTGAAGATGAAGAAGGATGTTTAGGATCACACTGAATCCAAGCATCAATTCAGATCTACAATAGCATGACTTTACAGGAAAAAGTCTCAAAATAGAAAAGCCAAAGTCCACAACTTAATTGCCCAGAAAATATGTGAGGTCACCTGTAGACGAAGGATTCTGACCTTATAATTTCCCAGACAGTTTTGCAGATTAAAGCAGAAATAACTAATCAAAATGTGAAATGTTGACGCCTCCCTAACAACGGAGTGCTGAGAAATTAATCCAGTCTGAGAAAGTTCTCATTTAAGAATTAGTACTTTTGTGCTTCCAGATCATTGCATGTTTTCCTATTTTATTTAATTTTCTATGAACAGATTTGTTTGTTTCCAGTTGATATGTACAAGATAAATGAAACATTAAGCAGTTTTAAAAGGATTTATAATTGTCTAATTTTTTACATGACAAAAAACAGTTTATTTGGGGTAGTTAGACATTTAAAATCTATTGTATTTGTCTAAACTTATGTGTACCTTTAGTTAGAGCAATATCCCCATTATTTTAGAATAAAAATGATATCTTATATTTATAATTATATACAGTAAGAGCACTTATCAATCATTTACTAAACCACTACTACCTCTACTTTTCTCTCCTGTCAAATTAAGTTGAACCCATTGTGAATCATAAAGGATTTATAACTATTGATTAATATGGAAATGTTCATCCCTTCCTCACTTGTCTTGGAAATTGTATACTCTTGTATACTCTTTTTAAAAATAATTTACAATTTTTGTACTTTATATATGATTTATTTATGATTTCGGGGAAATGGAAACTTATTAAAGGCCTAACCATCTAGACTCAGGTTAAAAAAGTATTATGGGAGGGGTGTTTTGTCCCCCCGCCTCATAATCAGGCTATAGAGAATTATACAACTAAACATGGCATAAAAGTAAAAATAATTATTTGATATTGAAGGATAGTGGTGTAAAATGTTATTATCCAATTTTTGTAGCAATATGTCACAAATTCTCAACTTTGATTATATGTAAGACAGATATAAAACATGAACAGTTTCTAAAAAAGGCAATTTTGTCAGAATGCTTATTGGAAGGTTCCTGTTGGAGGTTTGAGAAAAGGCTGAGTGGCAAAATTATTACCATAGGTTACCTCATGGATATAAAATATGCAACATGATCTCCTGTCAATTGAAGAAGAGCAAGGGACAAATGGTTCCTTCTACACACACAAAAACATAAACAATAATAATAAAAAAATACAAATTCTTCAGAAGATTTCATGTCTCCTTTTGAATGTTGTTTTTTTTTCCAGTCAAGTGCACTGTAACTAATTAGACTTAGACGGATTTTATTTTGTCATTTTGTATACACAAGTGTAAAAAAAGAAAAAAAAAATTCATAAAGAACAGCTCTCTAGACTATTTATTTTTTTTAAAGTGCAGCCTTGATAAGGTAAGCAGCAGTGATAAAAAAAAATAAACATTGTGATGAAAAACAGTAATGTAATCATATGACTGTGTAGTTACAGTTCTAACATTCATTTTTTGACAGAAATGACACAAATGCATGATCCACCAGCTTAGTATAGCCCACTTAACAAAACAATAGTTCATAATCATTACACTTGTCAATTCCTCAATTATTATCAGTTCTTGATAAAGAATGCCCAATTTATTACAAATTTGTTTAAAGAAAATTTTTGCGTGCTTCAACCAAATAATAATAAAAAAATCATTAAAAAACGTTTCTTTTTTAAAAAAATGTGAATATTGAATATTTTAGGCTGTTTTGCGTGAATCTCGTGCTGAAATGTTGCCGTTAATTGAAAGGCAGGCGCGCGCGCTCCTGTTGCTAGGAGGCGCTGTTGGAGACCGGAAGGGTTGGAGACGAGGATGACCGAGGTGATGGTGGTAAAACCGTAAAAAGGAGGAGAAACGCTGAACCATGCTGGTAGAAATGTTTCCTTCCAGCCTCTCAGTGACATTATGCTTCTTCTGACACTATTCGCCGGGTTAAAAGGAGCAGACTGTTCCCCGTTGTAAACCTGCAGGTATGGATACGCGATCTTTATCAGCTGTTATTCTGTAAAGAACATCTGGATAAAAATATCTTTTTATTTTCTCAGCAAATTTCGGTGGTTTTGTTTGAATTTAAGTATAAATCGGTAAAGCATGCTGTAAAATAGACCAAAAGGAAACCATCCCCACCCTGCTACAGAGCAGATCCAATGGGCTGCATGCAGTCAGACGTTAAAGCTTTAATAAAGAAATAGTATGTTCTCTAATTTTAACCCAATCAGTTTTAAGTTACAATGACAAACCACTTGAAACATTTTTGTGTTTATTCTATAACACTGTCCTGACTTTTGCAGACAGACCTTTTAGAAATAGACTTTTATTGATTTGACACAGGATCCCATCTGCATTTTCATGACCACCGGAAAAGGAAACACGTCATCAGCTGAAGTCTTGCAGAAAGGAATGGCAGGAATGTGATGAGACAAGATGGGAGCAAACTGACCTTCTTCTTTTGTTTTTTTCCTGCTTACAGGATCATTTATAGCTCATGTTAACAGCCCTTTAACCTCTTTATCATCCGATACAATGATCTTAAAAACATATTTCTTTTGGGAGTTTATGTGATTGACCAATGCAATGAGGACTGAAAAGTGGAATAAAGAATATATAGAAAATACAAACTGTTTAAAAAATTAAAATCACAATTGTACGGTTTATCTTTGTATTTATGGGTTTTCAGTGATCCATTGCAACTAGGGCTGCAACTAACAATTATTTTCCAAATAATGAATCTGTTGATTATTTTTTCGATTACATTGGATAGCCTTTAA